CGGGCACGTTTTGCTTCGGGGACTGGATGTAGGCATTAGGCCGAACCAGGATACATCGTGTGTTGCTCCTTCTCTTCATCTCTGTCCTGTGGTTGATTTACTCCTGCGAACTTTTGTTTATTCTTCCAAAAATTTTGATTTTTGAAGAACACCTCTATTCACCCCCCCCTCTAGAGGTGCATAACTTGTTCAACAAAAACCCCATCACACAATTCTCAATATAAAGTCATATAATGCTTTTACCATTTTCCCATAAACTGTTACACTTTCCCATAAGTATTTATTTAAATTATTACACTTTCTCATTAACTTTAAATCTTTCTCATAAACTTTTATACTTTTCCATAAAGTATTTATTTAAATTACACTTTTTCATAAACTTTAACTCGGGTAAATTTCAGTAATGGTATATGAACTATCACTTGTATTTCGAAATGGTACCTAAATTTTAAATTCTTTCACAAAAGTACCTGAACTTACATAATCCTTTCACTAAAAGTTCATTTACCCGTTTACAGGTTAACTTCCGTTAATTTGGGCTAAATTAAAATTTTATATATTTTAAAATTTTCAATTTGACCCATTTCTTTTTTTCTTATTCTTTCCCCTCCCACTCCCTTCTTTTCTTTTCTTTCACACTTTTCTTCTTCTTCTTCTTTATTGGAAACAAAATATCAGAAATCTAATACGGAGTATCAGATTACAAAAAATTGGAAACAAAAAAGTAGAAATCTGTTCTTGGAATTTGAATTTGTTCTTCTACTCTTTCACTTTGGGAATGAATTTGACATTTCGTCTGAAAACTCAAGTTCAAGGTTTAAGAAAACCTTTTTTCAACTCTAGCACAAGGAATCGTATGTATATATACTCCGTATATATTAATTTGCTGCATGCTTATTTGCGATTCTTCAAGTTCATGTTAAGGCGCGCATCGCTTCAATATGGTTGGTGCGGATATGCGATGTTTTTGACTTCGAACTCTTTTTTCTAGATAATCTGTAGATTTCTGTTGTGATTTCTACTCTTTTGTTTCCAATTATTTGTAATCTGATACTCCCTCCGTCCAAAATTAAAATTCTCAATTTGACTTGGTGCGCAAATTTATGTGGGATGAAATTTGAGTTGACTTTCCTATTATACCCTTCCACCTTTCAGCCCT